GCGTGCGGCTGCTATGCATAGGTGTGTTTATTTCCAAGATATCTTTTGTAAACGCTCATGCGGTATAGAAATATCCTGGCGTCCACCTCCTACTTTTCTGCATCTCCACATCTTACTGCAGACAATTTTCCAGAGAACAGCACCACCTCTGGTCTCGTTGAAGGCCTTTCCAAGGCTCACGAAGCGTATGGCGTTCGAGAGTCAGTTCAAACTTTGTTCAAGTACGCATGTATTCGTGAACTCACATCGATCCAGCGCGCGCATCCTGTTCGTCGTGCAACCAAACGAACGCAACGTTTTCGACCAACAATGGTTAGAGTATGAATTGCTAGAGAAGTATATTACCATCTCTCTCATCATCAACAGACTAATTCGCTAGAAAAGACATCAAATCCACGTTATCCGTCAAACACTCACCGACCTAGCCGTCTCTGCATCCCTCGACCCCTCCACACATGCACTCATACTCACATCCCCGACTAATTCCTCACCACACGAAATATCCACGATATACTTCCGCGCAACTTACACCCCCTCCGACTTCCCATCACCCTCCTACTACGACACGCGTTTCCTCCTAGAGCGTAGCCGCGCCATCAAATGTCCCTCTCTTCCCCTACAACTCGCAGGCGGGAAGAAAGTCCAAGAAGCACTCACGCGCCCCGGGGTACTCGAGCGTTTTCTCAATAACGAAGGCGCAAAATGGGGCGCACGCGCTCTCGATCTCACAGCACACGCAGCAGATATCCGGGCCACCTGGATGGGCATGTGGGCGCTCGACTCGGAAGATGTTGATATCGTTGCTGCGCTTGATCACTTCCCAGATTCAGGACAAGCACAAGGAAGCGTACCGCCCGGAACACGTCTCGCGCGCCATAAAGCCCCCTCGCTCGTGTTGAAGCCCCAGCGTGAGGGAGGTGGGAATAACGTCTACCGTGAAGCCATTCCTGCGTTCCTAGATGCTCTACCCGCTGAAGAGCGTGAAGCCTGGATCGCAATGGAGATGATCGAAACGCCACGCGGGGTAAGTGGTTACCTCGTACGCGCATCTCCGTCGAGTTCGGGTACGGACAACGAGAGCATAGAAAAGAAAGTCGTACGCGTAGAGGTTATCTCTGAGCTGGGTATCTTTGGGTACGCATTATTTGGAGAGGGGGAGGTGGTGGAGAGGGAGGTAGGATGGCTTGTGAGGACCAAGGGGACAGAGAGTAATGAGGGCGGTGTTGCAGCTGGGTTTTCAGTGTTGGATAGCGTGGTGCTTGTTTGATGCATGTTATTTACAGGATGGAAGATGTGTAAGTTTAGAGTTGGAAGCAATGGATTGTCGCAAGAGTGAGTTATTCAGAATTTATTTCGAAGCTGATAGGCAAGAACTGTATCTGCACACCACCAAAGTACATTCAGAAATGACAGTTCAAGATCACGAAAACTAGCCCTTACCGCTTGGGAATCCGGGTACACAGAGCACAATGGTTTTTCCCTGGACTAAGGATGTAATCGTACCACTTTCCATAATTATATGGACTTACCGATGACTGGAGCCAACGCTACTCTCCTCGTGACAGAACCAATGTGAGCGAAGCCTATGGAAAATAGAAACACAGTCAGTAGACGGAACCAGATCGCGGAAAATATCGAGGTTTCCATGTCACCTATGATTTGTGCCGAATTAGGCTCCGACGTTGAAAACGCCTCTTTGCAATTGAACGTCCCTATCAGATAGATTCAACAAGTCGATTGATTTATGTTGCAGTTACGCACGCTCAACAACTGCTCTGCGAGGGCCAGCATTGCCGAGGACTTTTTCTAAGGAAAAAAAATCTCTCGGTGCATGCCCTATGCCGAGTCCCGACTAGCTACAGCCTACAGGTCGGAACGTACCCTATGCCGACCAGTTACAGGACAATATAGCAAGTAAGCTCCCAGTCGCTGGAAAGTTGTAAGTAATACTAACGGTATGACCGTGGAAGCAACCGCTGGGATTCCTGTCTTTTTCATTTCCGACGGAACTGCCAGTGAGCGTCCGCTGTATGTCCCATTGGTCTAGCCTTTACTACGGTGATAAGGAAAATTGAATTCTTTTACTATATCTCACCCGTAGATCTCTGGAATCTTTTGTCAAAAGTTTTTGAGTTTGCCGAAGTTGCGTCGAGGGCCCATCGCAGTGGCCGTGCGTTTTGGAACACAGAGTTGTTTTTACATCCGAAGCACGTGGTGAGTACCAATGTGGCCAAGAATCCGAGCCTGGGTATTGAATCGTATTCTGCTGAGGCGAAGTACTCATGCTTTGCTTCTGTGACATTGATCAGATGCTTGATAGAGTGCTGGATGTCCTACGTTAGGTCCGCAGTGCGCACAACGAAACGGTACAATTATGTGGGTGTCAATCAGAGCGTGCCGTTCAATAATAGTCTGTTCATGGGTAATAATTTGGTTGTACGATAGCTTGAATTCGCAGGTATGTACCTTGCTCGACATGTCCTTGGTTGTAGGCGTGTAGCACTGATCTCATAAGAAAAGAAAAGAAGCCTCGCAGCTATCAAAACCCCGGTCGGCATGAGGAGCCCATTAGCAAATGTACAGGCACCTGACCGCACCTGGTCAATACCTGAACATCTTGTGCCTGTCCTGGATGTCCAATCCCCTATGGAGCTGTGCACCGGCTGCCGATGAATCGATGACGACTCGATGGACATTCGCAATGCTATTCCATTGTCGGATGATGAGGATGTTAGTTGGTGAGTCTCAGTTGCACATAACAACTGTGTAGGATCTCGCAGATGATCTGAATAGTATGACGTAAATCTGATAGATACCTTGGTGTTTTCTATGCGCCACTAAAATTTTATAGATTTGCGTCTCTTCGCTACATCTGATGGCAGTCTGCAAGGTGCCTGTGTGTGATTTGGTGTCTGTTTGTAAGGTCCCTGAGCGCGATTTAGCGACAGATATCACAATTTGGCCATGGCAAATTCATTTGAACACAGCCGTGAACCTGGGGACCTGAAGGGCTGGATCCAAAATGTCCACACTATCCAGGACACTCTGCACATTTGCCGGTAGCCCGAAGTTCACGATGTTCACATGCCACCAGTGTTGTGTTCCTACGTATCTGAAATGTATCAAGCAAGGCATAAGAGTGTGTTCAGCGTCAAATAAAGCAGTATAAAACGCGCAGCGCACGCACATCTTGAACTACATCCAGAATCACTTCACCAAGTTCATCTAATAGTACTCGACACCACCAACCTCTAGCAAAATGGCTCAGCTTATTCCTATCACCACTCCTACTCGAATATTCGAAGATCGCACACATACGGTCTACGCAGTCGCAGATGTCCCCTATAGTCAACGAGTAGTGACCTCATCCGAAGACAGGCTGGTTCGTCTGTGGGACCTGACCACAGGTGAAGTATTGAAGAAAATGGAGGGGCACACCGGTGAGGTCATGGGATTGGCGGTATCGCGAGATGGGCGGATGATAGCGACTGGTGATGAGAATGGAGAGCTCATCGCCTGGCAGACGAAAGCCGGGAAACCTCTCACCAAACTCAAAGTCCACGGCAGCGCAGTCCGCTCGCTAGACTTTTCACCCGACAATGCGTTCATCGTTACCGCGTCGTCGGCACCAAACGACCAAACGGTCAGGTTTTGGAACACCAAAACATGGACGCAATACCCCGTAAGCTACGACTGCGGTGCTACTGTCCGCTGCGTTCGGTATGCGCGGTCTGGCGTATATATGCTTGCGGTTGCAACAGACCAAGATATCCAAATTTACATCGGCGAGAAACTTCAAAAGAAGTTGAAGGGTCACAGTCACGGCACCTTGTCACTCGCCTGGTCTCCCGATAGAACGCGCCTTTTTTCGGGAGGAGATGACCATGATCCCAGCATAAGGGAATGGGACGCGTCGAGCTGGACGCAGGTCGGTGTTCCCTGGACGGGCCACACATACAAAGTCAATTCTATCGCCATCAATTATTTAGGCACACATGCAGCTTCCGCCTCTAGCGACAACACTGTTCGTCTCTGGCAGCTCTCTGATAAACAAACTGTCGCCATCTTCCAGCACACTTCTTCTGTCATTTATGCAGCCTTCTCTGCGGATGGCACGCACATCCTTAGCGGAGGTTATGATAAGAAAGTCACAGACTGGACAGCACCCGAGGGTACTTTGCCAGCGTATGCTTTCAAGGAAAAGGTAATTTCCGGTCAGTTTACCTTCCTATTGTCATCTCATCTTGCATCTTTTTTTATTCAAAGGTTCTAGAACCTGCTTCCAAGTGGCAGCTAGCATCAAAGGTAACGTCCAATTAACCACACATTTGCTCGTCTCATCATCATTTTGATTCAAAGGCTATAGAATCTGATTCAGAGACTGAAAGCTCCGATTCAGAGTCTCTGCAGGAAGTTTTGACAACTCAAACATTCGATTCCAAGCCTTTGCAGGCAATTTCGACGACCGAGAGCTTCAATTACAAGCCTCTGCAGACAGTTTTGACGGCTGGAAGCCCAGATTCCAAGTCTCCGCGGGCAGTTTCCACAACTGTCAACTTCGATTACAATTCTCCACATGCAGTTTCGACGAATGGAAGCGTCGATTTCAAGCCTTTGCAGGCAGTTTCAACAACTGAAAGCTCCAATTACAATTCTCTGCAGGCATCTTCGACAACTATAAACTTTGATTACAATTCTCCACACGCAGTTTCGACAAATGGAAGCGTCGATTTCAAGTCTTCGCAGGCAGTTTCTACTACTGGAAGCTTCGATTCCAGGCCTCTGCAGGCAACTTTGGAGTCCACAACCTTCGATTCCAAGCCTCTGCATGCAGCTTTGGCCACCACAACCTTCGCTTCCAGGTCTCGCCAGTCACCTTTGACTGTCCAGTCTGTATCGAATGAACAGTTCGTTTCCAAGGCTGAACAATTTGTTACCAAGTCGAAACAATATATTTCAAAGGTATGACTTTGTCCTTTGCTCGTATGGCGCTGTTTGAGCCTTTTTTTCACGTAGACACTTGTCACCACGGATGAGCTCCTTGCTATCACCAAGACCACCCGTATTGCATCCATCACAGGGGACTTGGTTACCGCTGAAAAGGTCCTCACTCAAGATATTACTGCCGATGCCAAGAACTTCGCCTCCTATGCCAACCGCTCTTTTGTTATGGCACGCAAACATAACTGGGAAAATGCGTTCAAGGATGCAAACAAGGTAACAACGACTCAGCATGCCCTGGTTAAAATTTCGCTGATCTCAATGGTCACAGTCCCTTGCCATACGGACATCATTGGCTGGCTATATTGCCAAAGGTATCGCCCTCTGCGGAAAACAGCTTCTCGAGGACGCGAGGACAGCCTTTGACCTGGGGTTCACGTTCACTCAGGGAAACGTGGATGCTACTGTGTTCCTTTACTTAATCAAGGTAGGTTGATCTTTTCGTCTTGCGTACCTTGCGCTTCATTATGTGTTTCAGGCTATTGCGCTCTTCAATGCTAACAGACACGAAGAGGCAATGGTTCGTGTGGATCAGCTGTCTACTGACCCTTCTGCCGATCCCTTCGTTTGTGGTGTCGTGGTGGTGAGTCTCGTGTTCTCAATCAGGCTTATACTCGTGTACTAACTGATTGGTCTGCGCGTTGTGCATCAGGCGAGTCTGCGACTCCAACTAGGAACCAGTGCCTTCAATAGCGCGCGTCATAGTGAAGCTGTCGAGCACTTCACTGCCGCTGTCAAGGCTAGCACTTTCTTGGCTAAATCCGCCGCTCCTGCTGCTTGCGAGGCTTTCACTGTGGTACGTTTAATATGACGTCACCGGAAAATTCACCTGTGCTCAACTGTGCCTGTTTTGCAGCTCTTCGGATGGGACATCGAGGCCCTGTGGGAAGCCTCCAACAAGAAACTGATTCTTGCGCTCCTTAGGGCTGGCAGGCTTGGAGAAGCCTTCCAATCGTATCGTTTTGCGATGAATGCAAGCGATGAGGCTACGAAGACCGGCTTGCATTCTTGGATCTTGAGTAAGTCTTTCCGGTAATACTACTCATGCTACGGTGTTCATCCTTTTTTCACTTAGCTCTCTCATTGGGATGAATGCCGCAGTGTTCCTTCCCCCAGACTGTTACATATGTATAATCTGAGATTGAAACACGGGTATCCTGTATGAATTTGCTCTAGCGATTACTATTTCATGAATATCTGTTAACTCTTATTGATACGCTAGAATGCAGACCGATGATTCTATGATGCTTCCCTCCACGCCACTGAGTAAGTCCTGCGACAACGCGCACCCTTCTTCGATTCCTACACGTTCAATGTCTGGACACTTAAATCGAGAGTCACTATCTACATCAATTCAAACTGATCGTCGATTGAACAATTCCTTCACAGACTTACTGGTTCAAAGGTCTATCATACAAGAAAGTTCCAATGGCGGCCTGAGCATAAGTATATGTCCGCCTGTCTCGTCCTCTCCGCCTGATGCACTCTCCGGAATACACGATACGCAACGATCCTCAGGTCCATAATCCATATTGTTCCACTCACCGCTTCTGTTTACAATTGGAATGATGCATCTCTTGGGGAAAAAAAAATGCACAAAGAATGTCTTGTAAGTGACTCGTTGTCTTCCAATATTATCGTCCTCAGACTCATTCTCTCTTGTCTTATGCGCGGACTTCTACTTCATACTGCACCAGAGGAGAACGTACAACGTTTTACAATGTGCTCCCGATGCATGCAAATTATAGACTGAAATCATAGGCTACTGCCCGTTCGTGCATATAAGACATTTGCGCCAGAACCAGACATTGCAGACTGTGCTCTCGATATTCCACTACTAGTAATGCATCAGGGTTGTCAATCGCTCACCGGTGCATTGAATCTCAAGTCGTACGATTGACATGGGAGTCCTCTTTCAAACCAAACACACAAGAGCTCCTCAGATTCGACTACATTTACAGAGAACATTACAGACGCTAATATTACATTGACTCGGAGGTCAGTTTTGGTGCCGTGTTTAGTTGCTGGTGACCAGAAACACAGTCAGCCAGGTTCCTAGCAGATAGAGAGGCGCTAACACTCACTGAATAGACCTGGCGTTCATTCGAGAAAGTCCTTCTCAGTCAGAATGCGGCCGTTGAGCATCTTTCCGAGATGAGTTGGTAGATACCCCATGCCTTTCCTTCTCATCCCGAACAACTCCTTCAGTGGAGGAAGCTGGGATCGCTTGAACATGCATGATGCTCTCGCAGAAGGGCGATTGTCTATCTTGATGAACCCATCGTTGTCGGCTACCAAGTCCTCTCCCTTCAAATCCGGCGCATTGAGTCCTAAGAAGCTGCAAGTGTGCAGATACATGTCGTAATCGGAGAAATAGAGTTGGGCCGCAAAAAGATTGAGCTGGCAAATCAGCGGTTGCGATGGTGTCAACCGTGGGGCCGAAGGAACACAATAGAGTCGAAGGTTGTCGCATGCCTGCATCGTTTGTATGATGCGAGGAGTGTAAACACACAGGTGAACTACCTTGCTCGTGCGGATATCAGGTAGTAGTTCGTTCACTTCATCCGGGTTCATGATTACCAGCATTGGGTGGCCAACGTTACTGGATACAATCCAGTTGACGGGCCGCAGATAATCATCCACTTTTTGGGTACCAGAGCTAACCGTATGAGCGAAGTCGCGGGTGACTAAAACATTGTGTGCCCACTGATCGCGCTCATAAAATTCGGCGGTAGTGTCAACAAGGCTGGATAGCACTTGAATGAACGCGGGAGAATCTGCGGCAATCCGGCCAAACTTCACGAATTGACGAACGTGTGCATGCATGTTCGGCTTTGCAGGTTCGACCTTGGGGGGTCTTTCCACTTGACGTTCTCTCTCTACCTCATGGATCACCTCCCTTTCTTGTTCCTCGTCCATGCTCCTTTTGTGAGCTGATAGAATTCCGAGCTCCTCGCACTTCCTTTGGATGTCTGAATCGAAACCCTGCGATGCCCGAGAAGAACTGTGCGGCGCGTACAATTCCTCCAATGAACGTTCCTCTGGTTGCAACCAGGCTGTCTCTAGGGTAGAAATTGAAGTGGTAGAGGTGTGCGACAATTGAGTCCATGCGGAATGCCGTGTATTGAAATCTGATCGTTGTTGGATCCAGGACAGTGTGCGCATCTCAATATCATTGGAAGTTTCAAGCATCGCCCAGTGCAAGATATCTGACACATTGACAGGGTCGTCATCAGCTTTCTGAGCTGCCGAACGAATGCTCCGGTCAATTTCAGCTGGAGCGAAGAACATTACTGATTGCCCATGGCCCAGCTTGCGCATCCGCATACATCCTTTATCATCAGTAATTAATATCAAAACCGACGTGCACGACCTCTGGAATCACGAACCTTGCATTAGGCGATCCTTCGTAACTTTGGGGCCAAGCGTGACAGCAGCTCGGAAACCGTGAGGCAGCTTGACGTCTGTTCCCCTCGTATGGGCATCGTCTAAATATACTACGCATTGGTCAAGCTGCTGTGCGAAAGGGGACGATACAAGGGGCTCGATCCTCCCATCCAGACTGACAACAACGAGTTCATCGTCGTCATTCACGAAGACTGCAGCCTTGGCGTTGGAAGTGGCTCTAAGCCATGCTTCGGCCAACTCTTTATTCCTCAATTCCAGCATCTGCGCCCCCACATCTAGGAGCACGCGGACCTCGGGGGTTTTTTTGACGAGAGTATTAATGAAGTTATGCACGCTTTGGCCGGGTGGTATGCCTTCGTAGTGATCATTTTCCAGGCGCAGAAGAAAGGCTAGGACTCGAGCATTCGTGCTGCGTTGGTAGTCAAGGTCGCGCTGCACAATTGAGCTTGGTAGCAGATATCGGTTGTCATTTGTGCCAGAAAAGCCGGTTGTGAGATGATTCTTTTCTTGGGCAAGATCCCATCCGGAACAGGTGAGCTTACTGGGGAAGCCCTTGGCTTCCTTGGGGAAAACAACTCGAGACAGATAAAAATCTATGACTGCCTTGTTGGTTGCGAACAATTGCCGAAGGTCATTTAGCTGGTCTGTGGATTCCGTGTTGATTCCGTTAAGGCGCCGTAGACTTTCTGGGACGGAGGGAAGTCCAATTACCCAGGATTCATACTCGAGAGCAGGATTGTCCTGCTTCAGCAGGAGCTCGAAGCATAACATCAACTGCTGGAGTGTGAGGCCCGCATAGTAGTATGATAGGGACGTAAGAGTGACAGCAACATCTGGATGGCCAAATTCTGCCCGCAGCGAGGGCATGTCTTTAGCACGGAATGGAACAGCTAACATCGTTCGTTGGGGGGCAAGGCCATAGTCCACGCGCCAGCGACGTTCCCTGAGGGCATACACCAAGACACCACATGCCAGTAGTCCACGCAAAACTAGAAGACCGGGCCAGACAGTAGTGTCTCTATAGCGCTCCATCACCAAGCCGATATCAATGTTGGATACATTCTCAGTTGCAATGAACTGGTGGACTGCTTGTTTGATGTGGTCAGGAGCTTGATCGAAGCTGATGTTTTCAAGTGCCCCGCTGTAAATGACATCTTGTGCGATCCATTGGACCAGTTCTTCGCCTGCTGTGGGGTGCAGAACTCGAATGAAGGGGAATGCTCCGTGCTTGCGAATAGACACTTCGGAGTGATAGGGAAATTTACTGATGAGCCGAGTAGCGTGTTTTGCGACAAGACTCAACACTTGTTGTGTAGTCGTCCACCTGTCAGGATGCCCCTGAAGCGACCTTTGGAGGCCGACGGTGTACACCAGTTGGTAGCGAACGTGTAAAATTTCATCACTTTCGTCTAGGATATCGCGTGTATGATCATCGAGCCACAGCTGGGTCTGCAGTATATCTTCAGCAGCTTCAGACTGAGGGGGTAGCTGACGCTCAACGGCCATCAACTGGAACGACAGGATATGATCTGGTTGCACGAGCAAGATGCCCTTGGTGTCCATGCATTCTTGCATCAGGTCACGATACATTTGCACCTTCGATGAGTCGATGTCAAGAGCGCGGGAAAATGGAATATAGAAAATGCGCCTCTGCGTAAGGCCGCTTAGTCGTTCAACCAGGAGCTGGAACATTTGAGTAGACAACGACTTCGGCACGATTACTCGAACCAGTTTATGGCCGTCGGAAAGCGCGGCTGCTGCGAGAGGAACGATCACATAGGATTTCCCTTCGCCCATGTTCAGTTGGAGAGAAGTATTTCGCCCTTCGTGGGGTGATATCATCTCCCGCGCAACCTTCATTTGAACAGGCCGTGCCAAGAACTGACTCTCAATCTGCAACACTTATCGTCAACAGTCGTGAATGAATGACTTCTCTCCGAAGCTTACCTGTATGAGAAGCCAATCAGGGTACAGCTCCGAATCAGATCGCTCGCATTCTTCATTGTCCAATTCCTTGAAAAACTCGCCCCAGTTCTTACTAGCGGCAAATATGAACAGCCTTCTCGAGCGTTGCAGTCGTAATAGCATCTGTGACAGGGAGACAAGAGCCGTACGCCACTCCGTCTCCAGATGACATCCTGATGCAGAAGCCATGCGAGCGAAGAGGAGATTTGGGGTGACTCGAGGCCACAACCCAGCATTGTATAACGCATTCTCGGCGGGAGAGACAGGGGAGAGGATGCGTACGATAGATTCGAGTGCATCTTGGAATTGCCGGCGATGAAGAGAATGGTACTCTCGCAATACTTCCATCGTGTATGGTGCAGGATCTGGTAAGGCAACAATCTTTTCTTCGCAAAACACCAGTCTGCTCTGGTCCAGATCATTGGCGTAGTTACGGCGGAACTTGTTGCTTGCTCGGTCGCGAAAGCCGTTGATAAGCTGTTGCAACTTCGCTGTGACTATGGTGTCTGGAGATACCAAATCTCTCTGACCGGAATTGGGCAGAACATAGGAAGACCCATTCATGCACATAACAGCCGGATTTCTAGCGAAGAGGTGATTGGCATCGACGAATGAGGCTGGTGAAGCAACAGCCGAGCTTTGAAGGTGGGGATCAAGATCGTATTGTGAGGGTAGTTTTGACGGGGCATGAGTGGCATGGAACGAGTTGAGGGTCTCTTGCAGGGCATCTAAGTGTTGCTTCAGACAATGGTTTGCCCAACAGCTGCGGTATAGTGGGCGAAGTTCCCCCGACAGTTTGTTGAGATCGTAGCAGTTCGCTTGCAGCATATTCAGAGCCGGAGGATTTTCGCGCGGCCAAGCATCCTGAACTTTATGAAGAATGAGATCCTTTTCAGAACGACGCCTATCTTCAAAAGCTGAATAACGACGCCTCCCAAGAGCCTGTTCATCTTCCCCTCTCCCTGCAGGTAGGTATCTCTCTTGGCTGGTCTCATAATCTTTGACACACGAACTGATGATGCTGTCCAACACTGCACTGGAAGGCATAAAACCATCCGAGAGATCATATGACACAAACTCCGGTGGGTCACCCAGGGTGCGAATTTTGGGAACAGTAGCGAAGGCTAGGAGTGTTGGGACGAGTGCATGCTCATCCAACAAGCCATACGACACTGAAGCTAGGGTGAAGACGAGCTGAAATGTATCGTCCTTCGTAGCAGTGCGACAGTGGCCATATGCAGAAAGGAAGATGTGGTGGAATGGCCGAAGCCAAGATTTGGAATATTGCAAGCTGAACGATGGTTCACCAATGCCCTGGACGCTCTTCCACTGAGTCAACAAACTGAGGATATCCTGTCGCACCGGAAGCTTGTGTGGCCACTGGAGTGTCATGAAGGCAGTATTAAACGCCCTCTCTTCTGCATTTTTATCGGGTACATCACGTGAAGCATAGACGACATCTGTGTCACTGAGCAGAATTGGAAGAGAAAACTGATTAGGGTAGACCGCAGAGGCACGGATGGATGCACGCTCGAGAAGGTGGTTGGTGAATGGAGGAAGATGAAATGTAACATCAAGGTCTGAAGATCCTTCGGAGAAAGTTGCAAGTTGCTTGCCGTACTCCATAATAGATTTTGCAGCTGGATGGAAGCCGTGGTGTTGTGCGAGGGATGAAAGACACGACCATGAGACTGTCTGCATCTTCTGAAGATGTGTGGGATACCATACGCGCATAGTTGACAACGAACTGATCTCGCGCAAAAGATATATATCGCGAGGGTGAAGCTTCATAAAAGACCGGCAAGCCGCAGAATGCATGAGATGCAACGCTTCCTCTGTTCCTGTTCGACCCGTCAGGGGATCAGGAAGACAGCCGCTAGTAATAGCGTGGAGAAGTGCTTGATAGAGCTTGTTCGTCAGACCTACACGCCCAGTAAGACAGCATAGATCTGTATCAACCCTGTACAAGTGATACTCCACTCGGGGGCCTTTACTCGTAATGGTAACCTGGACGTGATGCTCATTAACAGCGTATGAGATACGACCATATGGGATGATGACAGTACGGGGATGCTCATCCATGGTTTGCGACTTCGGACGCATAACAAGTTGATTGACCAATCCCAACATCGTTCCAGTAGACTGAATGCCATCAACGACCATGTTGCGCATGTTACGGGACTGCAGTTCCCCATCCTCGTCGACGAAGAATTCCAGACCATACCGGGGTAAATCAGCCTTCAACAAATAAGTGTTACTATAGTACGTGTCAGTATCATACACAGCGCTAGCACATACACTTGCCTCGTCCCATAAAGAAAAAACATGCACATGACGAAACACGTCCAACATAGGGTCAATGACCCCAACGGACTAAATCCGATGCAAACAAAAAAAAAAAAAAGTGTTACTAGAGCCCTTGTTGTATGTGACCATCATGTGGCAGGCGTCTTCCAGGGGACGCATTCTCTTGGAGATCATGTCCCACGTGGGGCTACGTATGTCGAGCAGAGTGGCACCGCTGGCATTCTGCAGCGTCGAGGGGCCCGAAACAGCAAATTCCAGGACCCAATTGTCACGTGAAGACTGCCACGCACGTTCTGCTGGCCGAATCTCTATTTTGTATGCGTCCAGGTTAAGCCAATGAGTATGGTTTTCTATCAAGGTCGTCGGTAGGTCCCCCACAAATTTCTGGCTCGGAATGAGTTGAAGGTTAGGCGAGTCTTGTTTGATATGCTTCGCACGAATAATGAGGTCGTTTGAGTCGCGGAGAGCAAAAGACACCTTCATTGACAGGTAAATGTATTGTTTCAGCTGCTGAGCGATGACAATGAGGGTGACTAACCTGATAGCCATAAGGGTTCCCGCGTGTCGCATACTCCATTCCAGAAATATCAGCTGGAACAATGTCCAGAACTTGCTGTAATTAACGAGTGAGCATGCACCAACAGAGTCGTAACTTGCAAAAGCTAACATCACCGAAAATTGCCTGATATGTGGGATGTTGCACGATAGTCGATGGAAGCCTACCCAGCCGCTTCCCATCAACGAGCAAACACCCATCAATTAAGTTATAATGCACAGATTGCGGTGACTGAGAACCAGAAGGTGCCGTCTTCGTCACAAACCAACGAGAACACGGAGCCGGCAGGGCATTCCAAGAAGTTCCTCGTCTGTAGCTGCCCCAGATTGCTTTCACCGCAGAATCGAGACCCTCCCTGTGATTCTCTACATATTGACGAACAGCGGCTTCTAATGCGTGGCAGCATCTCTTGTCTCGTTCTAGTAGTAGCTTGGAATGTTGTGATAGATTGTCCAGGTGGCTTGGAGTATTGTCGTAAATCATGACCCCGCAGTACACAAATACCTTGATGTCGTCATTTGATATCAAGAGTAGCGAAGGATCTTCATCAACATGAAAGGTGCTTCGACAGGTGGCGGCCATATCACGAAGTCGTCCTTGCAAATCCCGACTGGCCTTCTCGTCGTCACTGGCTTGTATTTTCTGTGAAAGCTGCCCCAGAAACGTAAAGGTCGCTGTTCGTATCCTCCGAAGCAACAAATATCCCCGACTTTTGATACTCTCTTCCTGTGTCGAGAACAAGACACGGCACACAGTCATGATGATAGTGCTTATCGTGACACCTTCCAGCCAATTTTCTACGACGTTCGCAATCAAGGACTCCAGCTCTCCGAGCAGTGCGCTAAGGAATGGTATGCTATTCAGCTCCTCGTGCCACGGAAGGCTCTCATCAGATGACTTGGAAAGTGGGCCAACTTGTGAGACGGCTTGCGCGAATAATAGATGGACTTCTTCGCATCGAAAATTGAGTGTCCTCGCACGGAGTTCACGTAGCACATTCATCCATTGCAGTAATGGTCCACTTCGTAAGACTCCGAAAGCGATGAATTCGTGAATGGTCAGGTCCTTGTGACAATCTGCCTGGTTGGCGATGACCTCATTTGAGGTGTGCGACGTTCCTGCGAGGTAATGCTGCAGATCATAGTATGGCCCCTTTGGAAGAGTGAAAGTGCAGAGTTTACTAGAATTCCAGTGCAGCAGTGCGTCGGCTATCCATGCATCTTTGGTTATATCAAAAGGTTGATATACGAGACCGTTGTTCACACAGATGAGGTCGGCATGCGTGGGAATATTTTGGTAATGGTAATGACACGCAGCGAAGGGTTTGGCTTCTGACGCCAAAGTCAGCCTTTGTCTTGGATGACATTTGCGGTATTGCTGTAAGGCGCCATAATTAGGCAGCGTGATGAAGGGGGGAGTGGGCAAAATCTGTTCTGGAGTGCAGATGTCAACGAGAACATGGAATGTCAAAGATCTCCACATGTCAAACGCGATGGGGCATGCTAGCTCGAACACAACCATAATCGCTTGCTGTTCATACCGCGGTAGTGGCCACTCGTGAACTGCAATGGTCATGGATCGCATCCGCTGCTCTAGGTCACATTTGTCACACCACCGATAGTGGTACTCATTACCCCAGGAGCTGACACGGTATTCATGTGATGAGCTTGCTGCGCTCTTCTGGAGCTCAGTGTACTTCTCGTTGAGGGTCCGAAGCTCAGCCAACTTCTTCTCCCGCTCCTCCTGAGCATCTGTCTCGATTTTCCGCTTCAAATCTTGCAACATGGGTGTCTTGTAAAAATACTGCACTGCGAACGATCTGTTATTGTCGGTGGACGAGAGTACCGACAGATGGTCGGAAGCCCGGAAATCACGTTCTTCCAAGTAGGCGCACAACTTCTTTAAACGATCAAGGGCTGAGGATTGTCGGATCAGGAGATTCATCCAAAGGGTCGATGGGACTTCAGGAGGATAGTTTGCCAGGAGGGGGATTTGTTTAACAACAATCTTGTCCATCGCTACCCAGAGTTCGAAAAGAGTAAGAAGCATGATTGACGTATTCTCCGGGTTTCCTTTGTAATTTTCCAGCGCTCGCGAGGAGTATGCGGAGGCACATGCCTCAATCGAGATACAAGCGGAATCGATGCTCTGAAGTGAGATACGCGCTACCCAGTCATCAATGCCTGATCTGACGACCGTCTCGAAGTCGATTAAGGAAAGGGATGGTTCTGCAGCATGAGCAGCTATCAGGAAGCTAGCATCAGCGTCAAGGAAATCATCAATTGTGCCGCGTGCGCGGTGGCTGGGTTCGAAAGGGGCTGATGTGGAAGACGGATGCTGGTTCAGCAAAGCTTGGCATATGTATTCTCGACTCGTGTTCAAGGAAAGGTGGGTATCCTTCAAGACCGAGAGGGTCTTGGGAGCCCAATGAGGTGAGGTCTGTTGCACGTCTTGAACAGATTTCCATCTTCCCTCTAGGATACTCTTAACTCCACTCGTGACCCTGACGACCATACGTGATAACTCTGGAGAAGCAGAGGTTCCAAGCTTGAAAAGACGGCGTGCGATCTTTGCCGACATGAAGTGTAGGATGTCATTCGACAAGTTATTATCGATAGCGAGGGTTGTGACCCTAGCCATCAAGAACAATAAGAATGATTTATAGGTCGTTCGTCCGAGAGCGTTGCGCTCCAGAGTCGTCTGTAAAGCAACGCGAATGACAAGCCAAAGCGGAGACCGCCTCCATGGCAATTTCGCGTTGTTCCACAGCACGTCATCTCCGATGCGTTTGCGGATGCGAGGAACATCAGCAATGCTCCCAATGCCACGGAGTATACCAGTCAGGAGTTCGGTGATATACCGGGGATGAGTTGTATCCCTCTCTTCAGGAACAGTGGAATCAGCTTTTTTCCTCGTCGCTGCCGCATCAAGGACATCATGATCCATGCGAACGAGAAAATTCGCCAGCGCAGCAGGAAAGGTAGCGTCATTGACAATTGTGTCTGGAACCGTGATAGCAGGTCCAGGATACGAACAGATCAGCTTTCCCTTTGCGCCCATCACTGCGGCGGGGTCAGGAGAGATCTCGAACGATTCGAATATGGTTTCAGATTCAAATTTTCTCATGACCACCGCAGCATTTTGCGCGCGAATCATAAATACTAAGACGTCTTTAAAAATAATAGCTTCAGCACGGGGAAAAATACAAATGAGGTGAAAATAACAGACCTTTGTCGTTCATGGCATTGATCTGAGTTTGAACTTCTTTAAGGGACATGGCGCTGAATCTGATTGAATGTTGAAGGTTCTGAAGCATTTTAAAGCTGCTCGCCCAAAGCTGTTGCTTGTCGGACGGTAGCTGTTCGTTGAAAGCTTGAGCAGCATCCAATACCGCCCGAGATAAGGCCAGCTCGTTCTCAAGGGTATGGTCGCTTGCTTGTGGTAATTTGAGGGGGAAAAACACATGATTGATGATATATTCCATCGAATGTTCAAGCATGTTGCTAGGATGAAAGAAGAGTGTAGTGAGGGTGACTCGGGAACCCAGCCAGGTTAATAAGGCTTTCCTAAGCGCTCGTCCTGCATACTCGCAGAAGCATCAACATGCTATCGCACGCGTGCCCATCAGTATAATGATTGAGGCCATACACGGGCATTTGCTTGAAGAGTAATTTAGATCCCAAACAGGATCATGCCTGCAGGGTCGAAGTTTGATGCACTGTGAGCGGGCAAGCAATCTGTGGAGTCTGCTTATCAAATTGCGTCAACTTCTTTACGATTTGGCGCTCACTGATTTTGAATTGTCCAGCTTCAACATTCCTCAATCAACCGTTCATCCTTGCAACATACTCACAACCTCGGCCTCGAAACTTCCGCCAAACCTCTTCGCTGCGCCCTGCACAACTTCAAGTTCGCGCAGCGTCGTAGGCAACGTGATCAAATCCATAGCTTTGGTCTAGACCCTGAAATGACATGAATGCCTCGTTGCCTCACCGTTGTCTAAATATCGTACAATGCGTCCTTCTGCATCAGATCTTGCACACACATTAGCACTGGCCAGTGACGGATGCGGAAAAGTTCATCAATGATATCGGTGTCTGTGTTTCTGCTTCGATGTACAACAGGTGTGCGTTATCAAGACGCCCCGGTCAGACCCTTGAGCCTAATGGGGGGACAGAACTCCGAGTCTTCGACAGACTCAGCCAACAAATAAGTAGCATAGGGTCAAATCTGTTGTTCAGTCGCCGCCAGTACACTTGCAACAAAAGATTGAGTAAATGACAGTAAGTTTGGTCGTGGCCACTGATCAGGGAGGATTGGCTTATTGCCACCTTGGTCTCCTGATCTCCAGATCGCAAGACAATTTCGTCTTTGATTCTGGATTGGTTAATTCTCTTCCTGGGATCGACGCGGTGAGTATGTCGGCTGGCACGAGCGATCGGGGTGAGCCGGCCTCACGTTGGTTTCTGTGCCAGCCGTCATGCGCAGCGTGTTGGTGGCGCACGAGGGTTACAAGCTTTGACGGTAACAAGTTGAGGGGCGAACTGATTTTGACACTTGAGGATATACGGGGCGCTAGCTAGCCTCCACAATTGAACAAGAGAATCGACAACTTGCAATCAACTGATCATTCGACAGAATCTACTATGCTCGTCATGCGCTGTAAATGATGTATATTCTTAGGGAAATAGAGGGCAATGTTGACTCATGTTAACGTTATAACTTACAATTGTAGCTTCGCATTTTTGAGATCCGTTGCGATTGTCGTCGTGATGGTACAATCGTATCAGTGAAGTCTTCAATCATTGGTCGATAAAATAACAGCAGATAGAACCAGTCTTCTTCGAGCGCTCGTTGACCATTCCACAACGCCGTGGCTTGAATAGTGGGCTAGGAAAAATTGCATTGGTACTACTACTAGTATGTGTCTTTTTGCACCGGATCTTGCACACACATTGGTGTAGCACCTTCCACTGGACCCTGGTTAGCGACGAGTACGGTAAAGTTCATCAATGTAATGATATACCAGCGTCCTTGTTTCCGCCGCGATGTGATGTGTGTCATCAAGACGGCCGCATCAGAGAATCGTGCCAGCCTGATGGAGGACAGGACTTGGACCGACAAACCAACGAATAACTGAGTCCAAAATTATGTTCACACGCCCTCCATTAATTCTCTCCTTCAACCATCCCCAACGACGAACGCGCTTCTTGTCCAAATGTCCATCACGCTCAGTCGCCATCGGTACGTTTGCAACAGACGACCAAGCAAACTAAACCTCACTGCTTCTCATAACAGTAAACTTGGTCGTAGCCACTGCTCGGAGAGGATTGGCTCATTGCCAATTTCCTGATTTCAGGACAGTTTCGTCCTTGATTCTGAATTGGCTGCTTTTCTTCTGACCGACGCGGTGAGTATGTCGGCTGGCATGAGAGATCGGGGTGAACACCGGTGCCACGCTGCTTTCTCTCGCCAGCCAGACATGCGCAGCGTGTTGGTGGCGTGCGAGGTTTATTAACATATTTTCCCTAGACATCTCGTGGAGATGATAGCAAGCTCTGCCATAGCATGTAGTAGCTACTAGTACGGGAGGGACGAATTGTTAAAACTATTTGGACACTTGAGGATACTACGAGGCGCTAGCCTCCCGAACAAGAGATGGTCAATCAATTAATTGACCACGAAATCTCAGTCTATTATTATAATATGCTCGTCACGCACCGTACATCATGTATTGATCAAGGACCTCCTTCAGTCTACGAACTTCGGGAATAGAGGGTAACGCTGGAACTGCGCATTTTTAGATCAGCGGGGATCTTCGTCGTGCTGGTACGTGTGGGCCCTTGGTGGGTCCCATTAGTAAGTCTTTGATCATTGGTGGATAAAAAACAGCAGATAGAACCAGTCTTCTTCAAGCTCGCCGTCCAATCCTAGAAATCCACAACGCCGTTGCTTGAATAGTGGACGGAGAAATCATTGCGTTGGTATATACATCTAAATTCTTCCCGACCTTCTAATCCTCCTCTATACCCTCCTCTTCCTCCGCAATAAGCCTCTCTGCTTCAAGCGCAGCCATGCATCCACTCCCTGCACTAGTAATAGCCTGTCTGTACCTCTTATCCTGCACATCACCAGCAGCGAACACGCCCCTGACACTTGTCTGCGTCGTCCCAGGGACAGTGATGATATAGCCATCGGGGTCTGTTTGCAACTGCGAACGCACGAGCGCCGTAGCTGGCTCATGTCCAATCGCATAGAACAGTCCGCGCACGGGGAGATCGCGTTCTTGGCCTGTGGTTACATTTTTGATGCGGAGGTTATTGAGGAGGTCGCCGTCGCCTTGACATTCGGTTGCGACGGTATTCCACAGGATAGTCTGTGCAAGCGTGTGAGTTGTAGTAAGTGGTGGGTATAATGATAGAGGGAACACACGATCTTAGGGTTGTTCATGAGGCGCTTGGCCATAATTTTAGAAGCACGGAGTTCGCTGCGGCGGACGAGGACGTAGACATGAGAACCGTACTTTGTCAAATCTGTTAGAGTGTAGTTATCGGACTGTCTTTGGTAAGAGAGTCAAGAGATCTTACAGGTGGCTTCTTCTGCTGCAGAATCACCACCACCAATAACAGCCAGTGGTTGATTTCTGAATATGGGGACGGCACCATCGCAGACTGCACATGCGCTGATGCCGCTTTGCCAGTATGTGACCTCGCCCTTGAGTCCTAGCCTCTTCGCGCTCGCACCAGTTGCGATGATGATCGTATCGGCTGTTTCTGGTTCCTCATGTTCCTGACTCTCTCGCCAGTAACGGAAGGGGCGTGCAGAGAGATCGATCTTGGAAACGGTCTCTGTAATGATCTGTGTGCCAAAGCGAATGGACTGTTCACGGAATTTGTCCATGAGCTCAGGGCCAAGGATGCCAGATGGAAAGCCGGGGTAGTTCTCGACTGCGATGAGAGAAGAGATATAGTGAAGACACGGGTAGAATAAGGCGTGTACACACCATCTGTGGTCGTTGTAAGCTGACCACCGGCAGCGAAACCGTTTGCCATGAAGCCCTCGAAGAGGACAGGGTTAAGGTTCGCACGCGCAAGATAGACGGCGGCGGTGTGACCTGCAGGACCTGAACCGATGATGACCTGCCCATGGGTGAGTACTGGGGAATGATGGAACCGATGTGAATGATACAGACGACTTTTGAATGCATCTTTGTGCTCTTTGGTACACTAGCGTTTGTGAGTGGGGCCATTCTTGAGTATGTGCGATCTGGAAGGGATGTAGATGCAGCTGCGAGAGGAATTGCCCGTAGGGCTTTCAGAAAGTGAAATCGAGAAGACAGCGTGTTCAAGTTACAAAAGTATAATTGAATTCGGTTGACGCTCGATTACTAATTATTAGAGCACAGATAATCTGATCTCCGGCCGCCGGGGCCTGAAACTACGCAGCTCTCACCAGCCAGTTAATTAATAATTTTAACATGGCAGTTATACAAGCACTGAGCAGCACATCTCAGTTTCAAGGTCGGGAGAACAGATCGTTGTCCCTTGTAATGAATGTTTCGATCACGGGGGCGAGGCCCTTCAGCATTCCGAATCACAATAGTAAATACAATGGTCGACATCCCTTGCACCCTCAACTTCAAGTAATTGTACACCCTGCGCAGCATCCAGTTCGCTGCTGTTTCTCGAACTCGGTATCAAAATCAACTTTCCCAATCACTTCTCTCTCTCTTGCAGCAGTTGTTACGTGTTTACATTCGTTCCCTGCCTGCAATTTCTCATAACGGTCATCGAGTATCTTCTGGTCGTAGTACGCCCAATGCATACACGAAATGCGCTTTTTCTGTGCATGCGTTGTCAGTTATGTCACGTGCAGCAATCTTTCGACTCACCCTCTCCTGGTACTTCTTGATCAATCTAGCTATATGGATAAACACCTCTTCCACATTGCGTCCGTTCTTGAGAGATACCTGCATGAACGCTAGATTCATTTCCTCCGCAACTTTGTTTCCCTCTTCCATGCCATCTGTCAGCCATTTCCTTGGCACACTTCGACAGTCTCACCTTCCCAAGTCACTTCCATCCACATCGCTTTGTGTTCGTCTTCGACCCTTACTGCCACGAGCATACCAGGAATAGGGTTCGTCCCATTGTCTCGTTCATGCTGCTTCCTCCTTACGACCCACCCATAATTCTCTTTCGCTAGCTCCAGTGACTTGCGATTTTCGGCAGAGTAAATGAAAAGAAACCCGTCTCCTTGCTCAATGTATGAGTTCATGAGGCCTTTCTCGCTATACATATCTCATCTTGGTCGATGTTCAAGGCACAAAACAGAGATGTAACGCACAAGTAGTAATCCGCATCGCCTGGACCGAGGGTGTCGATCAACTCGATCGTTATTGGTTCACCGTCCACTATACATTCCCTGATGCGAGCTGCAGCACAAATTGAGATCAGCAGATGAACAAATGATGTTTCTTTCCCATCGGACACTCACGGAACTTTTTGTTGCCCATTGGGTGCCTATCAGCTGGCGTCGGACAGAACGCTTTTGCTATTTTAGACCTTGCACGAACTGAATCTTATCAGAGATACTGGTATTTTGGATAAAAACACGGAATTACCAAGTGGACTGACGAACACAACTCGATACTTTGGTAGAGGCACGGAACGGGTCACTTGTTCGATACTATTATCATTCTGTATGGGCTAGGATGGCTCGGTGAGCTTTGACTACAATACATTGCCTACGCTTACCTGCAGTTTGGGGTTTTGCCTTGGCTCGCGCGAATGGGAGAGCATATTTTGTAACCAGATGGCTAGAAAGTATTGAAAATACGCCACTCCATGAGACTATTTGAGTGGTAGTGAACAAAGCAGCACGGCCGGGGGATGGAACGCAAAGGAGCGTGGTAAGTGTCTTTGTTCGTAGTACACAGTTTCATGCTTGTAACTCCACATAGATAAGTAGGTTTTCAATCGTGTATCGTTACTTTGAAGTTTGCATAGCAAGGTCATAAAGATTTTTTTTTGGTAGAACGATTTTGCTAAGTGGCAGCTTGTCACGTGAGACCAAAAAGGGTCTAGGTATGAGGAAATTGCCGCGTCCACCTTGCTTCTTGTCCACCACCTCATCAAACTAAAGTCGACAAATCAATCTGTCAAAGGACTTCCAATTCCCAGGACAACACTCGGAGACCGTGAATCATTTTGAGACTTCCTGGCCCCTAGACGATATCTGTGCCATGCCTGTTGATTCCGGAAAGGAGCCTGAGACTCCGGGTGTGCGCCGCTATAGGACAATGCACTGATTCCCTTCGTCGTTGAGAGGCCGACTCTGTAGTCATGCAACCTCCAGCAAATTTTTCCCATTTGCATAAATGAATTATTGGACCATGTGTAACCACCCAACGTGCTTTATAAAATGGCTAGCTTCGTCACTGCTTCGTCTTGTTAATACTGTCATGGTTTCGGGCCGACTTGGCAAATGATCCCAAATGACATCAACTCAAGAACTCGATCATTCATAGGCCCGGGGCAACCAGGGACCAATGTTCTCCTCAGCAACACCGACCTGACGCTGACGTTCTGCTAAGGTGTATTCTTGATGAGCGAACATTCCTACGGAAATGAACGTGAGGTAGGTCAATGAACCAATGAACCATAGGTAAACAAGCGAATTGTAATGCCACCTTGGGTTAAAAAAAATCTTGTCACTGCTGTTTTATCAGCAAGTCGAATCCTTGCATTCGTGATACCTCGGACCGCCAATATCTCGTCATCACTGTGCGAGAGGGAACGTTTCATACGTGGCCAAGGTGCCCAATATTCGCGTTCGAATTTCGCCAGCACATATATAATAGACCACTGGGTATGAGATTACTTTCGAGTCAGCCATGTTCCCCGCTGTATCCTTGTTGACAATCATCCCCCTGGCTTTGTCAATCACGGCATCGCCCGTTGAAGTTGTCAATTCCCCCATCACCCTCCCCATTGCCAGGAGGTTGGATGTCTCCAATGGTACCATTAACCTCTTGCAGCAGGATAGAGATCGCATCACTGCCCTCAAGGACCGCACCTTGAAGCACAGCGGTCATAACACTCCTTTGACCAATGTTGCTAATTCATACCTCATAGCAGTTGGAGTTGGCAGCCCCCCCACAACCTGTAAGTTCAACACTGAGAAAATATGCGGTTGCTAATGTATTATTGAAGACAACTTGGTTGTCGACACCGGTAGCTCGAACACATGGGTTGGCGCCGGCACTTCGTACGTGGTGACCAAAACCAGCGTCAACACTGGTCAGCCTGTGTCGGTCAGCTACGGTTCTGGCTTCTTCGATGGTATGACATATAAAGATATTATAAGTTGAAAATAATGATGATTATCTATAGGAACTGAGTACACCGACACCGTCACACTCGGTAAGGGGCTCACCATCCCCCATCAGTCGATTGGTGTTGCTGTTGATTCGTCGGGCTTTTCTCCTGGTGTTGACGGTATCCTTGGTATCGGGCCTGTAGACTTGACACAGGGTACCCTAGTAGATGAACCGACAACGACGATCCCGACTGTCGCCGACAACCTGCATAGCCAAGGCACCATTCATCATGAGTTTTTTAGTATCTCTTTCGAGCCCACCACTTCGAAGAAAGTCACCAATGGAGAGCTCACATTTGGTGGAACTGTCGCTGATAAGCACGTCGGCCCCATCACGTACACGTAAGCTACCTCAGCTCCCAGATCAATCTAGGTTGATGGCGATTGTTGTGTTTCAGTCCTGTCACCAAGACCAAACCCGCATCGGGCTATTGGGGTATCGACCAGAGCATTTCCTACGGCTCCAAGACGATTTTGTCCTCCACTGCTGGTATCATCGATACTGGAACCACCTTTCTTTACATTGCCAGCGGTGTGTATCTAGAGTGCTACGAGTAATCATGGTCTAATCAGCGTTTGATAGATGCCTTTGACAAGTACAAGTCTGCAACCGGCGGTACTCCGGATACCGCGACTGGTCTTCTCCTCATTTCCTCTACCCAGTATGGAGCCCTCCAGAACCTGAACTTCCATATTGGCAGCGTACGCCATTTTTGTTAATTCTCACATCCCTTGTTTACCATTTGCACAGGAAACCTACACTCTCACCCCTAACGGCCAACTCTGGCCTCGTGCTCTCAACACGTACCTTGGTGGTAGTAGCAAGGCCTTATATCTCGCCATTGCAGACCTTGATACGCCAAGTGGCGAAGGGCTTGACTTCATTAGCGGCCAAACATTCCTCGAGCGCTTCTACTCTGTGTACGATGTCTCCCACTCCCGCGTCGGTTTTGCCAAAACCCCGTATACTGATGCTACCACCAACTAATGGAGCTGTCCAAGTACACAAAAAATCGGGTTTCAGGCGCAAAGTAGCATACGGATTTGATAGCTGTACGGACTCGTCTTAAGTAGGCTATAGAGGTTCATTAATGTTATTTCCTCGGTCGGGTGTGCAATAGCATCACAACTGCTGGTTGGGATGTCTTAAATGGTGAAATGCCAATCTTGTGATCTTGTCAACTTACTGTCATGGTTCTAGTCACCTGGAGGACATGGCAGCCATTGACTAGGAGCTGCAGATAATGGCCAAATCACTGGATTTCTGTATATTCATTATCCATGATGGGAACACATGTACAAGTCAATCATGTGCTTGGTGTGTGACTTGAACTTCCCTGTCATCAGGCATTTGACCCCATTCTGAGAAAGATCTAGCTTTTTTTACCTAATACACAATATTGAAAATATCTATCATAATTGCAGATCAAATGATTAAGGAATTATGGAAAGCCAGAGCACCGTGCTCATGTGCATTGCCTTATTAGGCAAAAAGTTTTGATGGGACTCCAGACACGCCTTGGAGCCAACCCAGTATTTGCACCTAATAAAACAAGTGACTACGAAGTACACTCATCAGGAAAACCCCAACTTACTTAATCTTGCTTAATCAACTTAGCCACATTTGTTTCCTCTCTCATGCATCATCTACCTAGTAAATTTTGTATTTTTTTAGTGTAACCTGTAACAAAATATGTATGCTAATATGACTGAACAACTTTTTCCTGAATATGTCAAATTTGAATTTCTAGCAAAGTAGGCTAAGTCACTAAGTACGACTTAAGTCTGTTTAAGGCAAGCTTAAGTAAGTTGGGGTTTTCCTGATGCTAACACAATTTGAATATCACCATTCATCCACTGCACCATCATTCTCTGACTCATCACTTGAAAATTGCCAAACTATTAAGGGTCCAACACCCGCAGAACTGCCATCCAATGGAACATCGGGTTCATCAAGCTCGGCTAGAGCATTTAAGTTGTGGACGTGAGAATCACCTTTGGCCTCGTCAGTATATAATTGATTAAAGGAGATTTGTGTTGTACCTAGGCCCAATCCTCCATGCACACCACCCATGTAGTACATGCCATCCAGTTCCTCATTGAAAGGTAAATTGGCATGGCCACTGATCAATGTCAATGCACCAGTGGTGGCACCTTCATTTTCCGTCAGTAGTAAGTTGGGATGTGGGTTCTCTGCAAGCTGTACAGCAGACAGCACATTCCTATATACAGTCCAAACTGATGACTGAGTCACTGTGGGGCGCCCCATTGCATCATAACAATGCTCGATAAAGTCGCCAAGCATAGGTGGGACAAGGTCAAATACTGGGTTGGAAGCATTGATATAGACGTTGCAAACATAGTCGATGCCCTCGCGATCTATAGAAACCTAGTTGGCATAGTCAAGTAAGCCTTTGTGTGTGGTCACTTGTGCAAATAAATACCTTGAAATCCAATGCTCCAAAATCTTCAGGAGAATGGTAGATAAGAGTTGGGACGCCATGTGGGAGTACCTAGGGGGATTGTAAGCACACATTTTAATGAGACAGAAATAAGTAGATACCTTGTTGCGGTCACGCCTCTTGGCAGAATTGTTCACTCGGTCTCTATAAGTGTCAAGCTCCTGCTGCAGCCAGGGTATAAAAATCCAATGAAAAATCATCCTAGAAGACAACAAGACATATAAGGGCATAGGACCATAAGACAAGCGCTACGTACATTTGGAGAGTATCTGCTGAGTCGTACCAACCTTCAATGGCACCTTCGTCCAGCAAATTCTCGAAGCCAGGTGTCATATCCCGCGTTCCGGACCCAGACCTATCACACACATCATTTCTGGACTTCCGGATCCGGACGACTTCTATCTATCGTCTGGATCCGACCTGCATCTATCTTCCGTGCCTTATCCCTTTGTAGGTTCCTTCCCCAGTTAGACTATACTCATTTTCCATACCTCAGTTCATTTCCGCCTTTATTTTCCTCTGTTCTCATTTCCGTCTTCATTTACTATTTTCCGATAGACTAGCGTTTGACTTTTCTATATGCTCTGTCCACAGCCTCGCATAGCTTTGGACTGCGCTGGCTTATTCTCCGTTAAGTCCTCAGTAGTATATAAACCCTGTAGAATCTTTGTACTTCCTCAGTTCAAATATTATCTTAGACTCTGCTCATTCCCTTCTCCGTCCGACTTGAGTTTCTCCTCTCGTCATCCTCCACTAGTCTTAGGATCGATTCCTATAGACTTCTCACCTCCGCCTCTACCTCTGGTAGTCCTCCGCTGTTTCCTTTCTAGTTCGGACATCGTCCGGATTAGTCTTATCCTTCGTTCCTGAACGTCCGCTGGAATTCCCACGCATCGGACATCGGACTCCGGACTCGTCTGACAACCTTCGGACTTCGTCCAACAGCCCTCGGAAGTTAGGGGCATGTACTCGGGTAAGGGGCGCAGTGCACAAGCTGAAGCCAAGCCCTTCGGATCCGTCCCTTGAGCATGTTCTTAACACCAGGTGTGAACCTGTGCTGGAGTTGTGACCAAGTGATTTCCGGCATTACATTTTTGTTCATGCACATCCAACAATGTTGCAGAGTTCCTTGCAGGGTTGGGTCATAGCGCTGGCAAAGAAGCGTCTGCACGTTTGCAATGCCATAATT